GCAGATACTTTGACATTCCTTAGACAAACTGTCGTGTTTAACCTCCTCCCATTGCATATGGCTGGTCCTTAGTAACTTTTGTCTAATGAATTGATAAAATTACTTTTCAGAATAGCCAGCCCAAGAGAAAACTGTTTCTGCCTGGTCTCTTGATCTCTCTCTCTATCAATTCCTATTGATTTCTCTCTCGCTCGCTCTTTCTCTCTCTCATATGTGAGCTACCATGTAAGAAGTCCAGCTGCTTTGAATTCCTCCGTTTGAGAGACAAAGTGAAGTGAGCACAGAGTTAGAGAGAAATGCCCGAGGAGCCTCTGTTGTTCACCCCAGCTGCTGGAGTCTTCCCAGCCCAGGTGCCAGTCCTGTGTAAGAGCCAGCCTTCCGAGGATTCCAGCCCCCACTTAGAGTTGACTCAGCTGACACAGTGTCGAGCAGAGCCTGTGCAGGCTGCAGATTTGAGTTCTTTTAAGGTATTAAATTTGGTGGCGGTATGTTACAATCCACAGTAACTGGATCACACCTTTGTCTTCCCTCTAGGGCTTGACCTGGAGAGGGAAGGGCAGGATCTTGATTTCTCAGCCCTGCTTTCTCTGGATCAGCCTCTCCTTTCCCAGTCACCCTAAACCTAGAGGCGTAGGCTTTCCATCTCCTTCTCAAGTCTGGCTGAGGTTTTTCCTTCTTAAAGTCTATGATTAAATTAGCAAAGCCTGTCTCTTAATACTTGAAATGGAAGCTAAAGGACTTTGGAGAAATGTGTAGTTTTATTTAAATAAAGCTTGGCTTTCAAGATTATTGTCTGGTGTACGATACAAAACAGTCTTTATGGCTCAAAGCTGATCTTTGACTCTTCTGGTCAAAGCCGTACTCTCTTTTCTTGGTTTCTTCTAGCTCTTTCCTTAGCCAAAGAGAGAGACGGCTGCAAGGAAAGGCAACCTAAGGAGGAAAGGCTGATGTGTCATTTTGTCATACCCAAAATAGTATCTGCATTAGACAAGGAAGCATAAAACATACTCCTTGTCCTTGAATAGCTCTTGAGTTATTTCTAGAAGCAAGAAACAAGCCATAAAAAAATACACTAAGAATTCCTCGTATTGTTAGGTTCCAAATGCACTATGCAAACAATGCTTGCATATTCAGCGAGTGACATCATTTGGGATTGGAGCTACTAAAGATGGTTTCAGGAGGGTGGGACTAACTTGAAGTGGTCCCTAAAGACAGACAGAAAGACAAGGTGAAGTGGAAAGAGTGTCCAGGTAGGGGAAGCAGGACGAGCAGAGACATAAGATCAGGAAAGCATAAAATATATGCAGGGTAGCACCTGGCTGAATTTGAGGGAAGTGCAGAGTGTGTGTCCAAGGGAGAAGAGGAAGACTGGAGCAGTGAGTGGTAGTGGGTTGAATCAGCAGCTGAGGAATTCGAGCATTATCCTTTTGAGTGTAATTGGGATCCAGGAAAAGGTTATGAGCAAAAACATGACGCAGTCAGAACAGTAACTTAGAAATATGATTCAGCCTGTAGTAGACAAGATGTATTAGAGTTGTCAAAACGCTTTGAGAATCCAGGAGAAGGAGACTTGGCCACAATCTATGTAAAGCTCTTAAGGCATAATATGGCAGGTTGTAATAGTTCAATTGGTATTAGCTATTATTATCAATATTATCATTTTTATTCTGGCTGAGATGAAGAAGGAAGTTGTGTTCTTAAAGATAATGGTAATGTATCTGGATTTGAAATACTGAGTAGAATTTGTTAAGTAGATATGTAGAGTCTATATTAGGAAAATGGAGTAGGAAGAAAATGCAAACAGGAAAGTGAAATGACTGTTGAGAACCTATTTGGGCATCAGTTTGGTTAAAATACAGATTGAGGGTGCTCAAATTAAAAATTTTCTTTGGAAACCAATCACCAGATGCCTTCAATATTCTGGTAAGTAATTTACATAATATAACAATAGCTTAGTAGATGTCGTGTACTATACTAAGCACTTTACATTTTCCCAGTGTAATCCTCATGACAAACCATGGAATAAGTAACACTGTTAAACCCATTTTACAAATGAGGGAATCCAGACCAGTTGCAAATCTGAAAGGTGGTATATTTAGGATTCAAACCTGGCTCTATCTGATTGAGCCTGAGTTTTAATTATTCTCTTTATATTACTTTAGGTTTTAGTATGTCCAAAGGGAGCCAATAAAGACTTTAGAGCAGGGAAGTAATATGAATAGAACTGAAATTTAGGAAGATGCTTCTAACTCTAGTGTATTGGGTAGATTGATTGGGTAGAAATTAAAAACTGGAGGCCAGTGAAGAGCCTTATTGCACTATTCTGTGCAAGTATTGAGGACTTGAACCATGATAGATGTCACGGGATTAGAAATATGTCAAAGGTGGATATGAACAGGAGACTGGAAATCAAAGACATTGGTGATATTTCAAAGCATGGTAAGATGTTGGTAACATTCAAGAAAGGAAATATGGGAGGCAAATATGAATTGTCAGAGCCTGGGAGGAAGGGGTAGAGGGGACAGGGATGATGGTGAACTTGATTTTGAATGTGCCTTAGTTTAAGTTGTTATTTATGACAATGTGGTGGAAATGTGTCAAAGACTGTGTAAATAAATAGTCTGGAGCTCAAAAAAGACAGGTGGGAATGAGACAGTGATCTACATAGATCCTTTGAAAATATCGAGCAGCATTTGAGGTAAAGTGAAAATATGTAACTTTGGACTAATAAAATCAACACAAAATGGGTGAGGTGAGCTATTTTCATAAATGTTTCCCCAAGTAACCCATCTAAGAGTGATCATTCAGTGTTCTGATAGTCGAACTAGGTAGTTTTATAAGTCTCAGTAAGAGGTCAGAGGCCATTTCTTATAAGAGCATCTCAATTTCAAATGTGACCACAGTAACATAAAGCTGTGTCTTTGGCAATGGGAACTGATCTAGCACGAGAAAGTGTTTTAACGATGAACACCCACCAGCTGACTGGTAGGAAACCCTGAATTAGGAGATAGGATCAGGAGGATTTGTCAGTATCACTCCAGTGCCCTCTGGCAGAAAGAAAATTCTCTGATGCTAATGCCTAGTCCTGATTATCTAGATAAAAATTCACCATAAAATAGAGAAATGTGATTCATTCAACTACTATAGCTTGATATTTCCTTTAAAAATTATTTAATTCTTTCTCCCTTTGCTCCCACAGCAACCTCCCAGCCATTATTTTGTTCCTCGCAAGGGGATGTGGCATTGCTGGTCGCTCAGCTCTCAAAAATCTCGTGAACCCACAAGGAAGGTTTCTTCCTTGGGTTGTGCTTATCTATGGGAAATGGATAAAAACATCTTTAAAAAATATCTACACAAAGACCAGGTGCTGGATTTTGAATGAGTGCATCAAGAAGCAAATGCCCCTTGAGGCAAATCCTTGAAAAACTTGGCCATCTCTTCTTGTAGTTTTTCTTGAAACTTAACATAGACATCATAGAGTTGAATCTTTGTAGTATTTAAGATTGCCAATGGGGTGGGGATGGAATGTATGGAGAGAAAGGGAAAGAATGGAGTTAAAATGTATAACCTTGGAAAAGACTGGAAATATAAGGAGGTGGAAATGGTTTGGGATCCATTAAAGGATAGAGAGAAAGTACAGTTAGAGAGGAGGACAAGAAAACTGTCACATCCTAGCAGCCAAGGTGACAAATAGTTTGTTGGTCGAGTGCTGCAAAGGATAACGTTACATAATGAAAAATAAAATTTAATGAATCCAGTGAATAGATGGTTAAGAAAATCATAAAGTTCAATTCCGGCAGATCAGAGGCATAAGCCAGGTTTTAAAGTGTGTAAGGAGTGAAGGACATAAAGAATTGTGTTAATAGTCAGTTGTTTTTTGGAAGTTAGATGTATAGAATTAGGTAAAAAATGAGACAATGGCTTGTGGCTCAAGAGAGGGTTTCCTGTATTCTTGCAGGACGGGGTTAGCGTGGTGGAGGGGGCTTGGCATATGCCCAACTCAGCAAGACCATCATGGAAAGCACAGAAGGATTCTTTTTCCCAGGGTGGATATCCACATTGTTTCCCCAAATAGAAATCATACTTTACAATTGATGCTGTTGTAAGAGATGTCCTTATTCTGGGAGAATGCTTCTTGAAATTGCATTTTTAAAAGTAGGTATCTATAAAATGTTATGACAACTCCTTGAACAAATGTCACATTTTGAACTTTCATACCCAGTATTCATATTTCCCAATGTCAGGATATTTTATTTTAGCAAATTCTGCATTGTAGAGAATGGAGTGATAAATGTCAGTTTCTTAACTGTATTAAATGGGATTCTCTGCATATCTCTGTTGCATTGCAGATGATAGCTTGAATCATTAACTAGGGCTTATCATGAAAATCTTGGATCCTTTGAGTGGCAGCTGAGGGTTTTACAAATAGCAGATCAATTCAAGTGCCTTTTTCTGAATCTTTGTTTTTCTTGACAGCTCTGCATTATCTGACACTCTTATTGACTTTCTCCCTCTTGAATACACTCTGCCCAGGAATTTTACTTTCTCGCCAGCTGACTTTCTCTTCCCCTGAATAAGAATGCTTCTTTTTGTTCTTCTAAAGTGGTTCCTCCCCTTGCTTACCCCCTATTCTGGGTTTATGTCAACTTTCACCCTATCTTCTCTTTTCTCTCTAGATATTTTCCCTCAGTATCTCATCCAGTCTGATAGCCATCATATTTATTTGACTTTCTCTATGTTTTATCAGCACATCCATGTTTTTTTGTGTACAGCTTTTCAAATTTTATTGCAAAGTCCATCATTGGTTCAATGTGTACATGCATACAATTCAAATGTATCATCTTTCCCGATTAAAAAAAAGTAAAATGAAAAAGTGCAATATATTTGACCACATAAACAACTATGGTCAATTATATCATAAGCAAATGGCAAATTATGAAAAATATTTTTATTAAAAAAGATGAAAAAAAGATTCATTCTTAAGTTCTTATAGACATATTTTACCAACATCTCAGTAAAAGGAATAGATATAAACTTACCATTTATTCAAGAAAAATGTAAATGGTATTGAACAAATGAAAATAATAAATATGCATACCCAGTAATAATGCACAATTTACATTGCATGAAAAATACTCTCACCAAATAAGCAAAGACGAATTAAGATAATGCTCAATATGATCACAATTACTAAGGAACACTATTCTTTAACATAAAATGTAAAATTAGTGTAACATTTCTAAAGAAAATATGTATCAAGAGACTTAAAAATCTTTATAATCATTGACACAGTATTTCTACTTTTAGATTTGTACTCTAAAGAATAAAATCATATCTTTTCACCAAGATTAGATGCAACGATTCCTCCCTCAATAATACTGCTGGCAATATGACCCATCCCTCCAAAAGCAACGTTTGCCATTGTCCCACTACACATGCTAAGTGACCAAGGCTCCCCTTCCTGCATTAATGTGGGCAATTTCATTGTCCCTATCATTCTCACATACCCCAAACTACAATATCTTTGCCTGGGTCCAATTAATTCCACAAGAGACATAAACCTAGACTGTCTGGGCAAGTGGATGGTAACTCTATCAAAAATCCTAAATTATTTACATGTATATACTGATGCGGATGGGTACTCTAACTCTGTCCTAGCCCATGAGGGAGCTGATCTTGGTCAAAGATGCTGCAAGATCTCAACGGACATAAAGTGCCTAGATTCTCTGGACGTAAAGGGAATGACAATAAAAGCATATGCAAATATCTGATTATTCCCAATTTTTTTTTTTGGTGCCATAATTTTGAAGTATCAGGACTTTTGTAGAAAGTCAGAAAAGTCTGTTCAATCGTGTTTGTCCACCTGGGTTCCTCTCGTCCCTCTGTATGATTAACATGAAGCCTCAGTAGCATCCTGTCACTGGTTTATGGTCTAAAGCATAATTTATCCAGTGGATGCTAGGCTACACTCTTCTCTTATTCCTCTCAAGATGTCCTTTGTTACAAACACACACACACACATGCACACTCACAAGCAAAATAAGCTAAAGATTAGAAAACTACCAGTTGGGCTCACTCATAGTAGCATTTTCCTAATTAAGACTACTTTACCTTGAGAAAAAATTGCAAATTGACTTTATTACATGACAAGGTAATGTGATGATACGTTCCTTAAAATTTTCACTCCTTAAAACTTGCTTGTAGAATAGCAATGTCTGCAAATAATGAGTTGAACTTGAAACTGAACCTTCAAAATAAAACGCAGTCTCTTGAAATTCCAGCTCTCTGGTCTGAAAGCATGGTATGTTGCAAGTGGTCTGACAATGTGCTGTTGAAACACAGGACACAGAGGAGTCTCATCTTGCCAGGAAGCATCAATCAGACATCAGATGCTGGGGAAAGTGCTCCCCTCTCTCTCAAATTTCTCAAAACACCACTGAGTGTTAGTTGGCTCACAATATCGCTTGCTTCTGGATAGTGCAACACCCTGTTGCCGAGTAATGCACTGGTGATTCTATTGATAGCTGTGGATGCTGCTTTGACAAGAAAAGTGTCCAGGATTTCCTGTTGGGGCATGGGAGATTATGTGGCATATGTCATTTGCAAAAAGCACTGCTAGAACAACATATTTCAGAACTGCTTTTCCCTTGGCAAGTCTAAAATAGATACGTGGGAAATAGCAGATGATTCACGGCCTGCTCGAAATTTCATCACAAGCATAAATGTACTAAGAGTGTACAACAGGTCTTTGCGCCCATCAGCAAAGGCCGCAGGGCCATGATTGGGCTAATACTTACAGAAATTAGATGTACAAGTGGAATAAATTGAACTTACTTGGCAATTCTTCTCCAGATATGCTGGAATAGGTTTCCATTTTCTGCGAGTGTTGGAATGGAATGGAGGTAGGTTCAGTGATGAAACTTTAGACTAGAGGGAACTTAAGCATTTTTTCCTAGAAAAAGTCAGCTCCTGGAGAGTGTGGAATGAACAACAAGGAGACATAATAAATAATTGAGACCTAAATGTAATCCGAAGTACTTACATGTGTTTCCTTAGTGATAACCATTCCTTTAGAACTCATTGGAAGCCACAGATTGTTTTGCACATCAATTTGTTTCAGAGATCATTCCATTTGCTTATATACATTATGTATACACCATATAAACATAACTACGTGTTCTATTATTTATATTCTGCAGGTAGAACGATCAGAACCCTTCTCACTCTGAGCTTGAGTTTTCCACAGACCCCCCAAGGTTGGCTATCACAAAGACCCTGTCCCACTTGTTTCCCAGCCTCAGAAGTTCCTTTCCTGGATCTTCTTCATGGAGCAGGTTCATATTCTCCTTCTATTCTCCTCTCAGCTGCCTCATCCTGACCACCACGTTCAGTCCATTCCAGTATTTCTGTCTCCTTGCCCCTTTTATATGCGCTTCTTTTGTAGCACATACCATGATCTGAGACTGTCTTATTGATGGATTGGATTTCTGTCTGATGCCTTTCTGCCCCGTTTCTCTCAGGGAATGAAGCCTCCCTGAGAGTGAAGACCTGATCCTTCCCATCACTCACTGGGTGACCACAGTGCCTGGCCCCGGCAGACACCTCATAAATAAATATTGACTTCATTGAGTGAAGTCTATTTATCAGGTACCAATTTCCCTACAGGGGAAAATAACACGTAACTTGGGTTCTCACAGAGCCACTGTGATTGTGTTGACAAGAAAAGTCTTCCTGTCATGGTAGCTGTTCATTCAAATGTGACATGTTGCACACTGCTGTCGCTTTCTATTCACACCAGCCTGGGTGCCCAAAGGAAGCACCAGCTGCCAGGGTGTCGGAGCTGTGGCTTGGCTCAGAACATGTAATCTGAGTCTCAGAGTTTTTCATTTGCTGTCATCAAATTGACTGCCTAGCAATCAGATTCTTTCCAAATTTATCTTCAGAGACCAGTCACTGGGAACCAATTCATACAATATAGATACATGATGACTATTTTTAATTGGTTCTATGGCACAATCACCAGACTTCAAGATGTGTACAAGTATTTAAATTTATCACAAAGTGATTTTGTCTTCAAGAAAATAGAAATATATATGGAATATATAATGTTTTACAATTGTTTGTCAGAATTGCAAGCTAAAGTTCAAAATTCATAAAGGAAAGGAAAATAACTCTCTGTCTCTCTGCTCCCTAGCTCTTTGCTGCTTCATTGTTTTCTCATAGCAATTAGAGTTTATTACAGCTTCGTTTTCATTAAGCAAGGATTATGATCATGATGGATTCAACTGAATGGGATAAATATTAGAGATACTATGTCATATGTGTACTCCTTCTGCATGACTGAAACTGAAGTTTTAAATGTGAAAATTCCAGGCCAATTTTGCTATCATAGTAAAAATGATGAGAGCTGTAAAATTTCAAGCATATCTTTATGACAGGAGTTTACAAATATAAATTTCCTCTTTACAATAACCATGTCAAGTCGAAAGAATTTCCATTTTACAAACGAAAAACCAAGGCTCGTGGTCCTATTTTGCAATGAAATTTTATCTAAACTTTTTTTTTTACAGTTTCTCAAACTAAATATGAAACCAGGCTTGTGTATTTTCTATTACTTTTGAAGGGAATGAGAAGATAGGCTACCCAAAGAATTTGCATTTACCACCAAGAAAGGGAGGCTAAAGGGGGGATGTTGCCATGTGAATATTTACATATGGCAGATGCTTTGAGAATATTTGTGACTGGCCAAAGCAGTGGCCCAGATGACATGTGGGCACAAATTCCCCTCTTAAGATGTGGAAAAGTATCTATACTGTGCCCTATGGAACAGAATCACCTATCTGGCACTTAATAATTAATTTTGTTTGTCATTTTATTGGCCACATTACTTTACCATACTGTATCGTGACTTGTCAAACAATCAGTTCTTCTATGTTGTACGTATAATCTGTACTGAGTCAGGAAAAAAATGTCTGCTTATGTCAAAATAATAGAATGTGAAATTTTTTTTTCCAAGACCTATATGCCTAGTATTTGAAGACTTTAAAACATTCTTTAGATAATATTCTATCTTGCAACAGAAAAAAATAAATAAATTTGGGTTTGGAAAGTGTAAATTATAAATACTAATAAAATAAATATCACCAGATATTTCTGACATGAGCTATTTATTTGGAAACTCTTAAAATGGAGAAAAAGGTAATTTTTTCTTTAAAGGGCATTAAACTTTAAAAATAAATAATCTGAGTCAAGATAAATCTATTTATCTTTCTCTTTATTTCTACTTTAAAATGATTTGCAGGAGTAAGGATATTATTATCCTTCACAGAGACATTTATACTTTCTCATTTGCTTTTTCTTACTTTTCCATGGATATACATGAAGACAAATGCAATGGTTACTGACTTTATTTTCTGATGTGACAGGATTGAGTATGATTTGAGATGTTGTTTTTTTTAGATGATAACCTATTCATTTTCAATAGGACCTTTCCATCAAACCAAGTTGGATTTTTGAAAATAAATATCTGAGTCTCTTGAGTTTTGACTACTTTTGTTTTCTTGCCCATTCTAAACTTGTTACTTATTTTACAGTGGTTTTTTTTTTTTTTTTTTTGAGGAAACATCTGCTGCCAACCCTCCTCTTGTTGCTGAGGAAGACTGGCCCTGAGCTAACATCCGTGTCCATCTTCCTCTACTTTATATGTGGGATGCCTTCTACAGCATGGCTTGACAAGCAGTGGTAGGTTCGCACCCGGGATCCGAACTGGCGAACCTGGGCTGCCGAAGCAGAGTGTGCGAATTTAACTGCTATGCCACTGGGCCAGCCCCCTTGTTTGCTAGTTTTAAAATAATTACAATAGACAATTTTCCTGAAAATGTCACCATATCGTCTTTTATAAAATATTACTATAAAATCAGTTGACCTAGAAAATAAGACAAAAAACAATAATTGAAAGAAAATCATAATGTGCTAAAATACTTATTTTTACTTTACTTTGAAAGATGTAGCACATGACTCTGCTCTTAACACTGAGCTGTTTTCTTCACAGCACTCGCCAACCCTAATTTACATTAATTTGCTTATCAGCTGTACCCTCCATACTATCTAGTACCTCCAGAACGTATGAAAATAACAACAGTGACTTCTTATTTTATCTTATTTTGCTTCATTCTGTATCCAGCAACTCAAACAATTAGGACATTTTAGATGCTCAGGAAATTATTGTATAAATATTTGCTGGCCAATGTTAGGGACCTCGTTTTGGAGAGTGAGGAGGCCACATCAAGGGTGTTGGTGCTAATTTTGTTTTGAGATCGGGATGAATGCTACTTGAATTCAAATATAGTTTTACTCATTTAACAATTTTCCAGGTGGGAACTCTGTTCAGGAAAACATGGTACACATAAAGAGATTGCACAAATAACTAAGAGACAGCTCATGCCATCAAAAAAGCACCAATATTAACAAATCTAAGCCATGAAAGAATTAGAGAGGAGCCAGTCCCAAGGCCCAGTGGTTGAGTTCGCATGCTCTGCTCGGTGGCACAGGGTTTCACGGGTTCAGATCCTGGGCGCCAACATGGTACCACCCATCAGGCCACGCTGAGGCAGCATCCCACATGCCACAACTAGAAGGACCCACAACTAAACAACTGAAAAAAAAAGCCAGTACAACTAGGTACTGGGAGCTTTGGGGAGAAAAAATAAGGAAAAAAAAGGAAGATTGGCAACGGTTGTTACCTCAGGTGACAATGTTCAAAAAAAAAACGAAAGAAATAGAGTAAAAGGGAACAAGAATGTCTTTGGTTATACGATCAAGAAGGAATTGGCTCATCTAGAAAAGAACCACTACATGGACAGTTTGGCCTATTCTGCTCAGTTGGAGTTCTTAAATCTTTGAAAGCAAATGTTTTAGGTTAACAGAAGTGATAAAGAAGAGGGGTTATTCTGGGCTACTTCCCCTGTCACTCCCTATCCTAGTGTAAGTGTGAAAATGTATATGAATAAGCTGTAAAATTTTGAGAATAACTAAAAGCTATTACTTTGTAAAATATCTTATGGCCACAGGAGGCCACTGTGACTGCAATTATGAATCCCTGATAACAGCCTGCCTTGCAAAATCCCATCGACTACTTTTTACTGTGCTGCTACATGGCTCCTCCTCTTTTCCCCTGAGCACTTGTTTATACCACTGTATAACAGTTGTCACATTGTGTTATAAATATCTAACTACGTATACATCACATACCCTTGTACTGTAAATCCCTCATGCCTTATTTGTTTCTGCATTCCCAGCAAGGATATACTTTATATGGTGCTCAGCCAACATTACAATGAATGAATGAATGAATGAATATGTGAATGTATGACTGTGTAGAAGGAAAAACTTTTCCCTTCTTTCCTTCTAGGTTCCACGGATGGTCTAATAATTAAGTTGACATTAGACAGATTAACAGGAGAAAAAGAAATTTAATTTCGCATGTACAGCAGCCCCATAAAAATTGTGAGATTCAAAGGCAGTTGGCAGTTGAGGCTTCTATACCATCCTGAGCTAAGGAGAAGGGCTAGGGGTCTGGGGCATCAAACGGGAGAAAGACAGTTCACAGGAAGACGAGAACAAATGTTTGATAAACAAATGCTTGCCGTGCCATGCAGACAAGTCTTTCTGATATAAAAAGTTATCTCTAGCAATAGCTCTCTTCATGGTGCAGGCTCCCTACCTAAATTCCTTTAGGCAGTTAAGGGAGAGGTAAAAAGCTTTTCCTGAGTCTGCTGGGTCTTAATTGCCTTCGGCTAAAAAGCAATCCATATGCCAAAGTGCTGCATTTTGGGTGGTATATTCTGCTCCCTCTCAACTGGTAGAGGGCAGGTTTTAAAAATTAGCTTCAATTAGATTATAATTTTAATAATTATTGGATTCTTATCTAATTTATCTGAGTACACTCTGTATGACATGTATCACATAGA